AACTGTCAGTCTTACTTTAGCTTCACCTGTCAGTCTTATTATAGTTATAACTGTCAGTCTTACTTTAGCTTCACTTGTCAGTCTTATTATAGCTACAACTGTCAATCTTCCTGTAGCTCCACTTATTGGTCATACTTTAGCTTCACCTGTCAGTCTTATTATAGCTACAACTATAAGTCTTCATGTTTCCGGTGGTTGGCGTGAAAAGGGTTTCGTTTTTTATTTGTATAAAGAGTAAGGGATACCAACTTCATTGTATCTGTAGTTCTTACCTGAAGTACAAGATCTTTAGTGTGGTGTCTCCTCTCTAAGTAACATCTTCTAGCAATTAGATGAGGTACAAGAGAAGAAGCTTCATGCGTTAGTCTCTACACATTATATACTCTAGCTTCTTTTGGTGAGTTTCCTCTTAGGTTAAGGGATTTTTCATTTCTTTAGGATGAGAAGTAAGACTGACACGGAAGCTACAATTTGGTGGAGTTACTGGTATGGGATGAGTGACTCGTGAAATGGTACAGGACGAAATTATGAAGGGTCAACGATCATGTAGTGAATTGTGAAAGTTTTTAACGTAAATGTATTTTAATTTTGAAAAATTTTGATGCGTGTCGGTAGAAAAATATATGAGATATATATGTGATTATGGAACAATAAACCTGTGTTCAGTCAAATAACTTAGCCTAGACTAGTTTTTCTGCAATGGAGCAATAAATGTGTGGAAAGAAACATTTGAATTTAAACTATTGGATGTACATCTTTACAAAAACCTGTACACTTATTTATGTCTAGTCATAATGCTAGAAGTAAAATATCCTAATGAAGATAAAACACCAAAAAATATGGTTAAGTAAAACAGAATCAAAACACCATAGATATTATATGCACTTCACCATTATAAGAGGCCTAATAGTATTTCTTTGGTCTGCTGACTCGAGCTGTGTTGATGAGCCTTGAATAGACAAAAGTACAGTCCACAGCAGATGGTACGGCCAATCAAAGAATGCATTAAGCCTCTACGCTACAGATTTTTTTTTATTTCATCTCTAGTGAAAAAGAAATCAGTAATATATATACAATCATTAAACAGTTGGTACGTTGTATAATATCGAAAAATGAGTTCTACGAAAAGTCATGATATTATTCACATACATAAATTAATTTAGGTTACTATATGGTGAAGTAAAACAGACTTAAAACACCATAGACAAAACATTGATGTCAGCTGCCGAAGCAATGGTAAAATCCCACTTTATCGTCAAGAGTTACTATATAATTGATGGTAGGTTCTGTGGAATAGCTACCTTTCCTGTAGTCCGTTGGTTTTTAAATTGCATTCCATTGAACCTCAGGGTTCTGCATAGGGTCTTCAGGGGTTCCATACAAAGATAACAGGTAATGGCTTTTGTTTTTTAAATCAGTTATTGAGTATTAACCCATTAAGGACCAAATATATATTTTAAAAAAATCATGAGTCAGTTGATGTACATTATAATATTTTTGTGTATCTGTTTGCAATTTTACGTAATACTTTTATGAACTTGGTCATTTTCACGTAGGCTATGGTTTAGGGTTTGGTTTCCATGATGGAAGGAATGAAATAAAAGAATTCCATGGCATCATAAAATTTGAAAACCACTGCTCTAGCCTATCAGTTCAAAATCATGGACAATTATGTTCAAATAGTCTTTACACAACTTTGCACACACACACCCAAAATTGTTTCCCCTACTTACATACTTTATAATATGTAGTGTCATTATGATTCTATTCCCTCCTCAATTTTGATCAGTTTGTGTTTTGATTGTTTATCTCAGGTGCATCAGAATATTATTTTATTAGTAGAATATATATGGGAGTCATCATGATTATATTTCCTGTTTGATTTTAACTTTATTTATGTTTCTAACAATACTGGAACGTTAGTACTGTATTTCCTCCTTCATTTAAACTTGTAATTATCATGTCTACTTTGGTGCGTAAGAGAGTGTTTTTTTCCCTTAGTTTTAACTAGATATCTTGTAATACTTTATGTACTGCAAAACAGCATCAATATGATTATACTCCTTATTCTATTTCAGCAAATGTTTAATAGTTTTAACATCTACTTTAGAAAACCTGGTGTCATTAGGATTGTGTTCTTAATTTTTACTGAATTCTTAGTAACTCTGTTTAATACATTAGGAGTATTTCTTTGATATCAGGCCAATAATTTGGCAATAAGAGAAAGCTTTCTTCTTTGCTTGATATTTCACAATATGCTTCATTAGGAGCTAATTGTTATAAACACCAATATGTCTCACACAGTACTCCAGTTACATTCCAGACAGCAGGAATACAACACTAGAATTATGATATCTTCGGTGTTTTTAATGTGCTTGCTTTGGTATATGTGGTGTCAGTAGGGTTCTATTTTTCCTGTAGTTTAAGTTAATTTCATATTTATTACCTTCAGAATATTTGATGTATTAGGAGTTTTCTTCTCAGTTTCAGCCAGTTTTTTTATTTACTATGTGTATTCAGCATACATGTACAAGGGATTGTTTTCTCCTTAGTTTTAGCTATCTGTAATTTTATGTAGTTTCTAAGAGTAAATAACAATCTTAGCTTCAATAGAAAATCACCAATTCAACATTTGATACACAGAACTGAGTTAGAAAAGATGTCCTTGAAATATAAGAATTTTAATGAATTAAAAATAATTTCTGTCAGTATCTCTACTACTAACACTCCCAGTTTCTGATAACTATTATAAACTCTGTACTTTTTTGTTTACATATCTTTAATTTTTTTTTAGAGAAGTGCACCAGTAGGATTTCAAACGATCAGCGGTATCCTTTACCTGGATTGATGTCGGATTTAAAAATAATTTCTGTCAGTATCTCTACTACTAACACTCCCAGTTTCTGATAACTATTATAAACTCTGTACTTTTTTGTTTACATATCTTTAATTTTTTTTTAGAGAAGTGCACCAGTAGGATTTCAAACGATCAGCGGTATCCTTTACCTGGATTGATGTCAGATTTATATACCGGTGAACTTTATCCATGAAGGCCAACCATCTCTCGTAGTAGATTATAATCTCTGGATGAAATCAACCAGTCAATTCGTTGTAAATGCATAAAATACAGCTTGGAAGAAATTTTTCATTTTGTATACATTTAAAAAAGTAGTCAGTTACAGTGTTTTGATTCCACCAGGAATATTATAATGGATGGTGGTATTTGTATACATTATTTCATCAAGCAGAAGTGAAAGTAAAAGTTTTAAAATATTGTTGGAACAAGTTTCTTTTCTGTAAATATTTTCAAATTTGGAAGAGATGTTGTAAAAAGTGATTATCTTCAGCTGTGCTTGTTAAAATGTTGGTGGCTTGTGCCATTCTTTTAAATTATTTGTAATTATGCCTATTTAGCAGATAAAGGAAAATAAATTGTTTACTTTTTTTTAAGTAACATGCTTTGTTTTTTGTTGTTTCAGGAAGGAAAGAATTTAAATGTGGTATCTGTCATGCTACTTTTGCATGTGCATCGGGTCTGTGGAAGCACCGGAAATTCATCCACGGTAACAGAACGGTTGTGTCGTGCACCGTGTGTGGCAGATCGTACAACCATCCCGAAAGTCTGGCCAAGCATAAGAGAGAAGTACACCGGATCTTCCTGGGTAGAGCAACGGGAAGGAACAAGCTGTGTTCTCTTCAAGACAACATTTTTTAGAAGAACTTTAAAAACAATCAAAAGCAATTAACAGAAAAAAGTCTTCATAATTTTCTATTTTTCTAGAAGTAGAAATTAATTTCTAGTTTTGTGAGTATGTAAAACGTATAACGATTAAAAACTGTATTGGTAAATTGTCCAAATATGTGTAAATAAACAGCTGTAGAATTGAAATATTTGTACTGTAGGTTTTAAAAGATACCCTTGCCTCAATCTTACTACTGATAAGGTTCCCGGCAGAATGTGTGTATTGGCTGGTTGTAGCATATTTAGCTGCAGTTACCAATGAAAGAAGCAAAAGCTGTACATTTAGTGTTAGATAATGTTCTCCTTCCATCTGTTGTTATTAAATCCGTAACGATCTCATTAGATGCTTTGTGGAAGGTAGTAATTAAGTACTTGTCTTTAAATTCAAAGCCAAAATCTATAAAAAAAAAAGTAGAAAAGTGCCCGATTTCATGTTTTTTATCCTTCTTCTTGAGCAAAATTTCTAAACAAAATGACCCACATGCACTGTCAGACAGTTTCTATTTATAACATCAAAAATTACTGTAATTGATGAATATGTAATTGTTAACTACTTTTTAAAAAAGTCAGATAATGGAAATTTACAAAATTTTGTAAGAACTGACATGTACTAAAACTATACTCACTTTGTATAATAGTTGTGATCAAGATGTTATATGGTTTAAATAAAATTTCTCATCATTCCAGAGCTCTCTACTAAAGCCAGAATTTAGTTTTAATAATTACTGATTGTATCAACATCAATTAATTGTGTAACTTTTATTTTTCCCTGAATGAATTAATAAAGTGTTTTAACATTCATTATGTGTACTGGTGGTTTAAACTTTTCTCTCTTTTGTTTTAGTATATTTAAATATGATTATTCTTTTTTATTACCAGATGGTTCAGCATTTTCCTGAAAGTTTAGTAAAAGTTCAATAAGAAGTAATCAAAATTTATAAATAAGTCTATACGTTTAGTTTCTTCCCAAAGAAGTTTACAGTTTGAGCTTGCTGTTGAATAACATTTTTAAATTTCTTTTGCGACAAAACAAGTATTGTTCTCTAGAATGTGAAGTTTACTTCTCTATTTTTGTAAATGGAAAGAAATGGAGTTGAATAACATTCGATGACAGCTTGTGTTTTATTCGTAGGAGGAAGGACTGGGCATTTGAGGTTAGTCCCTATGAGAGGAAGACCATCTAAACAATCTCTAGGGAAAAGTGCCGACCTCTCGGTTAGAAGTAATACTTATTGCCACTTCTGTCATCGAGGATTTTTTGATAGGTCTTCTTTCAGCAGGCACATGAAAACTCATCTTGTTGATAGAGAGCTCTTTCGTTGCGATTTTTGTCAGAAACCATTCACCTTCAAATGGAACCTCAAAGTACACATGAGAAGAATCCACGAAGTTGTCACTTCGGACAGTTGAGACAGTCGGAAGTCTTGGCATGCTTTTTTTGTAATGTAACTACCAAGTAAACTTTCTATGCTATATCAGTGATTGATGTTTATGTATCAGTTATTAAACCATTTCATTACCATAGAAATATTTATGGTCAGGCTGCTATATGACAATACAGCTCAGAATACTATTTTAAACCAAAACATTGGACCTACATGTCAATAATAAATACATCTTATCTATGAAGTTTAGTTAAGTGTTTGTTTTAAAAATGTCGATTAGAAGATTTACACTGCTCTAGGGTCATTTAGTAATAATTAACCATATTAAAACGGGTCCAAAGCTTCTCGATATAACAACAGTACACTGAACTTGTGTTTTTAAAATGGCTCTACAAATGTACCAAAGCCATCAATATATTTTATAAATGATATGCTTGCTTTTCTTTTGTTTCTAGATCCAGGAGCTAGCTGTTTCAGATTAGTACCAGCAAGAGGAAGACCATCTAAACAGTCGGCTGTTCTTAGAAACGATGTTTACTGCTATTTCTGTCATCGAGGATTTTTCAACAAGTCTTCCTTTAAAAGACATATGAAAACGCATCAGGTCCACCGAGAAATTTTCAACTGCAAATTCTGCAATAAATTATTTACTTGGAAAAGTAATTTACAAAAACACATGAAGATATATCATGAATGTGTATCGTCAATAAGATGAAGCCATTTTTTTTGTAGTTATTGTACTGTCCAAACATAATTTTCATGTTTACTCTTAAATCTGGACACTTCACAGATTTTAATTTAAAAAAAATAAAACATTAATCCAATTAAATCGGTACCATGTATAGAAGCAGGTTCTATCTTGTTCAAAAGAAAGTAAATATTGTAGTACACAGTTTGCTATATGGTAATTAGTCCAGTTACAACCTAAACAGGAAATATTAATTAATCTTCAAATGTAAATAGAATTTACTCCATGTAACTTAGCCATCATTAAAATTTAGGACATACTACACTAAAGAAACTACGGAATGAAATGGCTTTTATGAAAGAGACTGTTTGTAACAATCAACTATCTATCATGTTTTTATAAAGTTTATCATGCTTACAAATTAATAAAAATCTACTTTTCAGTGTATGACCTCAAATTAGGGCTGCGACTAGTACCAGCACGAGGAAGACCAACAAAGCAGTCAGTGAGGTCTTATGATACCAGTGCCTACTGTTCGTTCTGCAAGCGAGGATTCTTCAACAGGTACAATTACAGAAGGCATATGGAATCGCATCAGATAGCCAGACCTTTCTTTCAGTGTAAAGTGTGCTCCAAAATGTTCACTTTAAAAACTAACCTCAGGGCTCACGAAAGGAAAGTACACCAGTGTTGAACCACTGTAACAGGATTTCACTGAATAAATTCCATCTCAAGAGGTGCATACATTTTAATTATTACTACATGGTTGAAAGAAAAAAGCCGATAAATTTTGTACTGCTTAACAATTACCGTTACTTATGTCTCGATACTTATGTCTAATGGTAAGTCAACGAAAGACCATGACAATGTTTATCTAACATTCTAAAGAGAAAAATATCAAATTTTAATTTCTGTAGTGAATATTGGTATATACAAGACATATTAATACTAGACATAAATGACCTTATAACACACACACAATGTCTGGCTGAAGAAGCTGTAAAGGGAAATGTTCAGTGTTTAATTAAAAAACACAACATTTTGGTGTTACAAGGTCAATTATTTTTAGTATTAAGATAAACTTTTTCAGTTGGTTGGTAGATCTAGCCTGAGAAGAAATATTTTTCAAGATGTGTGCGGTAGTATTAAAATATAAATGTGTAATATAGTCGTTTGAAGTCATCAAACTTATTGATCATTCTGATAGCACATAAGACCAAATGATTTTAACTATTTATGGAAGATAGATAAATTATTTTTTATTTACATCATAAATTTATAAGGATTACTGGTTCCTGTGTGATTGTTCTTCTCTCTGTTAAATGCTGAAACTGTTAAATAAATTAGAAAAATAATGATCTACAAGTGGAGTTGTTTAGATTAATTAAACAAATTTATTACAAAATAACTTGGATGTCTTAATTACATAATTGTGTACTTAAATCACCGTAACTGGTATTCGATACTCACATTATGCTCTTTTGGTGTTGGTTCATCTACATTAGTAATTACAATAATGCTAATATTGTTTTTCTTTTTTTAATAAAAAAGAAGTACTTAAAATATATTCTACAAATAACATTGGACACACATCTGATAATTAGTTAACTTATTTGAATTTATTTAAAAATCACATTCTGCTCTTCTCATAATCTTTGTAGGTTTGAGAAAAACAAAATTTCACAGCTTTCACCTTAAGCTGCTGCGTGATCCATTAAGTTTGTTTATTGCATTTACTTCTGCGATAGTATCTGACATTTTGTCGATAATGAGAAATGCAGCTTTTTTTCCCTTGCTTGTAAAATGTTCTCTGAACAAAATTAATTTAAAATGAAATCTTTTAGGTAGTATTACTTTCTCCTGCAAAATGAATAATGAAGTTTGAGGTCATTTTTCTCGCCAAATTCTTGCCCACAGCTCTTACACTTGTGGATTGTTCGATGCTGTCGAAGGTGATGCACACTAAGGGACGTTCCCGAGCTGAAGGTTTTGTTACAGACAGGACACATGTACCTTGTTCCTGTTGGGGTAACTACTGCTTGCTGGGCCCAACTGAGGTAGTAGTTTCCTGGAACATACCAATACAGATGTTGAATTCTATGGTGTGTTTGAACGTATAAACAAGACGGGAGAGAGAGAGACTATTAATGGCCAATGTAGCAGAATACACCTACACTACTTTAAAACAAAAGTGGAATTGTGACTTGGGTAAATGGATGACTTCTACTACAACAACAACAAAGATCTTACAGAATATTCCAAACAATAAAGTGGAATTTACCAGGACAAGTAAGAGATTCTGCATACGTTATAGAACTGATTATACACATTTTCAGTAGTACCCTAGATGGTAGGATGTTAAAGGAAACTTTATAATTCTTCATACACGTATTTTGTTCTGAGGTGGAATGCTTAACACTTCTAGTTTACTTATAAAATTGATAGTGTAAAATATTTTCAACAGGGAATAACACCCCAAGCTAATATTGATCTGATATATTTTATTCACAACACAAACTATATCCAAGAAATTAGTTTGTCATAATCTACAAGTTGAATTAATTTATCATTTACATGCATGTCTTTAAAATATATGTACATATAAATAGAAGAAGAGGAACTGCATAACAAACACAGGTTGCTCAGAATCGGTCCTTGCAACGTATACGACTATGAGTTTTTAGGTCGCTGTTTCTTTTGAAGATTTTGCGACAGTGCTGACACTCAAAGCTCCTGATAGACCTGTGGGAATACATGTGGTGCTTTCGGACAGAGTCGGCTGATCGAAATGTTTTCATACACTCTGGACACAAATATCTCAATCCATCTGAAGTTTCTACGGTCAGCTTGGACCACTGGTAACGGGGGTAACCTGTGGGTTGTACAATCAAATTGATTTTTTTTTTTTATTTATTATGAAAATTTCAATAATAATCCATCAGTATTTACATATCGTGAAAAAAAATATATATAGCACACCTTGGCAGAAACTACACACAGTATAAATATGTAATTATAATTTAGGTAAAAGAAGATCGTATCATCTCCAATGTTCATCAAACGATAATAAGAGACAACAACTGCCAAACTGGGATATCATGTGGTGAGATGCAAGTTGTAAAAGATGTACAAGAACTCCTGTTCATCAGATATTTTCCCATTCCCGTGATGCCAAATTTTTGCTAGAGATTAAGTTTAGTGATTTTCCTGTGAAAATACAAAAAAAAAAATTGTAATATTTGTCACATGAAAAGTTTTTGTTATGCTACTTCTAAGTTTACTGTCAGTATTTTTGTTCATAGAACACGAACACTATATTATTTGAGAGATAAATTAAAGCATTTGTTTCACTGTTATTTTACATGAAAACAAATCAATGAATATTTCATTATAAATCCAATTATAACATACAAAACAGCTAAGTTATTCTATCAGAAGGCCTACTGATGGTTGTCTGACACCAAGTCATTATGTTTGAAAGTTTAATTTATTAAAAATGTGTAAAACGAAAATAAATATCTCCAAATTTATAGGTTGAAGGTTAACCATTCCTTTCTTCTTTTTTTATTACTTAATCTGTGTAAAACTTTATATAACCTACCTATAGAAGTCATTTGCTACCTGGTGTCTACTTCATGCAACTAGATTTGTGCAATTTATACTAAAAGTAAGCATGCCTGAGCTTTCAATATAATTGGAGATGTGTATGACACTTCTACAGTTTCCTTTGTAAATGCACGATTTCCTGATTTTTAAACTAACAATAAACCTCCGTTCTATATACGTTTAACTCCTTAAACCAGAGCAGACGGATAGCGACTGGGCAAAAATCCCTATTTATCCATCAATAATCTTTATGTTTGTTTGGCTGAAAACTAATTCAAACCAAGAATATTTAAAGTTTAACAAGGTTTGTTGATAAGTATTGGGAAGTAATGACAATAATCGTGACAGAATAAGCAAAACATTATGGGTTTAAAGAGTTAATATTACTAAAATTATTATGTTTCTATCTGGACTAATTTTGTAATGTCAGATGATTACTGGTTTTATGTACCTTTATCAGTCAATTTTTGGTAACAAGCTATTTCTAATGTATTTCAGTTTTCTGTCAACTCTTTTAGTTATTGATGGAAGATAGAATTAAGACACACTATTCAGTTGATAATGAAGAGGTTACAAATATAAGAAACCTTTCTCTACAATTTCTAAAACCTCACAGAATAGATTGATTTTTGTTCTTTAGTACCAACTCTTAAAGTGGCACAAATAACCTTACCCGAGTGCAATAGTAAGTGCTATGCCTGACAAGGTTGGACTTTCTTGTGAAATCCTTTCCGCATCCTGGACACTGGAAACTCTTCTTATCCTGGAAGAAATGATGTTGTTGTAGTTTGTTGGTAAGTTTCTTGCAATCAGGATCCTGGTAAAATATGCCTGTGCCAGTGGTAACAGTCATTGTTTTCATCACGCTTCTGTGGTTTTTAGATCTTGAGTAAAAACTACCTACAAAGAAAGTAAGCCTTTGATTACACACAGAAACCAACCAAGCAGTTAGTTGTCCTAATCCAGTGATAGAAACTATCGTTAGCAATGTTGGGTTTCTGAAAACTGTAACTTACAAGAGATACTGTTACACAGGGGAATCTCCTCCCCTTGTTACTTGGACAGATCCAATGATAGAAACTATTGTTAGCAATGTTGGGTTTCTGAAAACTGTAACTTACAAGAGATACTGTTACACGGGGGAATCTCCTCCCCTTGTAACTTGGACAGATCCAATGATAGAAACTATCACTAGCAATGTTGGGTTTCTGAAAACTGTAATTTACAAGAGATACTGTTACACAGGGGATAGTTTCTATCATTGGATCTGTCCAAGTAACAAGGGGAGGAGATTCGCTAGCAATGTCGGTTGTCTGAAAACTGTAATTTACAAGAGATACTGTTACACAGGGGAATCTCCTCCCCCTGTTACTTGGACAGAGGACAGATCCAATGATAGAAACTTTATCAGATGTAGGGTTTTTGATAACTGTAATTTATAATAGATACTGATGTATGTTATTTTGCTTCCCTAGTTACTGAGTAAAGTATACTTTTTAAATTGAGCAACCAAACAACAGACATTCACATATGTTGATCCACAAAAACAAGTCTTCAAAGCATAGATTACATAATTTCTAAACTGAAACAAAGAACATTTCTGTATTTGAGTAGCAGCAAACATTCAACATTTGACCCGAGGTGACCATAAGAAACAATAGTTGACTTGTGCAAGTCATGTAAAAATTTGAACAAGTTAATGTTTTCAAGGTTTCAACCTCATGTTACTTAAAAAGTTAGATTATACTCTACAGTGATAAAAAAAACAATGGTAAATAGAACAAACTGTCTCGATATTAGAAAAGTTTTGACACATTCATGCATCCTCTTCAGTCTCATGTTGTCTTCTGTCAGGAAAAAACCGGTCGACAATGCTTATGTGACCCCAGAACATTAAATTCTCTTGAGAATACAGGAAGTTGTTAAAGTAACTTAGGGAAGTGTTGAAATTAGGCCTACTTTTGATTAAGTAATTTCTGAATATGATCTCTTTTATGTGATTAAGGTTGCTGAAAACATTTTCAAAACAACTTCTTTAGTGTGGTTATACAAATAACATATCACCTACATCCCACTGACAAGCTGAATAGGAGAAAAATGTCATATTTCTTTCCTTTCTTGGAAAGTTTGATAACCAGATAAAACAAAGAACCAACAAATTCTTTTCATGCCACAATAAACATGAAAACATATTATTTCTATACATGTAAATAAAATCACGACCTGTATCTCCAGAAAGTACCTTTATTATCTCAATAGTTCGCTATTACAGCTTCGTCAGGAGCTATCGATATCCTAAAAGTTCACTAATCCAGTTAAATCTAAATTGGAACACTGTCGTTCGTATATCGAACATTGATATGTGTGTGTTTAGAAAGTTTATAGTATATTAAAATATCAAACATTCTTGAACTTATACCGTCAAATCAAACCAACATGGCGTTTTATTTTTTCTTCAAAGTCTATAGCATATGCCATCTGACATTGCTGGAATGTAAAATTCAAAACATTTTTTCCTATTTTTAAATAACTCCATTTTCCACAATGTTTCATTACAAATTGCCACCTTACAGCAAAAAACAAACTTTTTCCAAGAAGACAGGAAAAACCTGACCAATGATAATATGAAACAACTTTATTGTTGCCTACAATAATAACACTGAAGCCCTAAGGAAGAATAACTTTAGAATCACATACAAATATCTGAACACCAATAAAAATTACTTAACTACTTCAAATAAAACATCAATTGAAGATAAAAAAAATCAAGGCATTTGTATTATACCTTGCCAATCCTGTGGAAAAGGTTACATAGATGAAACCAGAAAAATTGTGAACAAGAGTTTCTGAAATAAGGTATTAAATATGGAAACACATACAACATTTTATTTTGTATGGGAGAATCTGGCCATCACATCGATTACAAGAATTTTATACAATTGAGATGAGTATGTAAAAAGAAGAATCAATGAATGGTGTTTAATTAAAAGCCTGCCTAATTTCAGCACTTCCCAAGGTCAGTTTAAGTTGAACAGCTTTCTGACCTCCTTAAAGGAATTCAAAGTTCATGGGTCACTTAAAGGTTGTTGGCCAGTTTTACAGCTAGAAGACAATGTGACCTAAAGAGGATGTGACACATGAATGTATCAAAACTAGTTTCTTTAACATTAAGACTTCTGACAGTTTATTCAATTAACTGAAGTTTTTCACACAACAATGTGTTCTTTAATTACAATACAGTATTTAGTTTCTGGTTAAGTTAGGCACCCGCTCCGATTACAAGCATGAAAATATATAATAATAAATATTCCACTTACTTTAATAGTTGGATGATCATATCAACTGATACAAGAGTTTGTCTATCTGTTTTGTCTCGCAACACTACAAGCACACCCAAGTAGCTAACAATATCGTGTTAATAGGCACACTAAATGTTTTATTTTATTCCTTTTCCTTGCAGATCCAGAAACCTTGTATCAATAAACCAAGTTAGCAAAATAAAAATATTTCTGAAGAATAATAATGATGAAAAACTTAAGCAAATGAGTCATAATAACATACATTAAAAATGTAACTGTGTAAAGAAATAAAAATTTCTTAAGTTAAAAAAAAAAGAGGCAGAAATAAAAATTATTTTTCTGAATTATTAATTAAAAAGTATTACAAAATAGAATTTGCTTTTATTTAAATTGCCAAAATTTATTTTTAGTATGCTTTAAGAGTTTATAGATATAGTTTATAGTTTTACCACAGGTCACTTCGGCGGGGTAAAAAAACCTGCGAACCACCTACCAGTCCTACCCCTCCTAACACACACACACACACTATCGCTTCCCACTGCGGTGTCGCGCATCAATGACTTGCATTTTGGACCAGCCTGCAGACCACATTTTGAGAACTGGTACAAACAATGAAATATTGTTAAAGAATATATTTAAACACAGTTCCAACGTGCATATATGTAAATATGTCTGAAATACTTTTTACCCGAGATAATAAATAAGTTAGAAATTGTTCTTCATGCTCTAACTTGTATAAAAAACTGGTCAGTGTAGTGCTTCACGGGAAATGAAACATGTCTTATTGTTTAAACCAGCAATGTTTCTAACACTCTGCATAGTAAATTAACATGTATTTTAACACAACTTTCAAATTATTTTAAGGCAGATTACGATTAGAGAAGTACAGGTATCAATAATGTATTTTAAATGTAAATATTTTTCTGTTAGATGACGCACTCTGTAGAGAACAAAACTTAAAAATACTTTTATATACAAATTATGCCTACTGAGTTTTGTATACAGTTTCAACTAGATAAAACTACATTGTAAACAAGCTACAGCAACTCCTGGATAAAATCGTGTGTAATTAAATTAAATGCTGAATGAAACCACGAGCAATCAATGTCTACAAGAAGTACCGATATGAGAAACCCTTATCCCTAAAAAACATTCTGTTATCAAACAGTCACATATTTAACTGTAAAGTACTTCAATCAAATACAGGTTGACCATCACTAGTCTGGTACAATCAGTAATTGGCACTAATTTCGGCTAGAACAATTTCAAATACAGTAAAGCAAGATACGCGCTATTAAGTAAATACTTTAGTCTCGCTTGAAAGTTTTCTTTCCAATATTTTCTTTGATTAAAGCTTAAAGAAAACCCCGTTTTATGGGATATTTTAATTTTAAGATGAGGTGGTTAGCTAGTGGGTTTGGTGTATTCTAACCTAATAGATGGCTAATCCGGCACCCTCCAGGTCCCGATGATGCCGGATTAGTGATATTCAACCTGTACTAGAAAATAAAAATGCCATCAAAGATTGCTTAAATCCACATACATTTAACCACATTTAAGTGTTTGTACTGTGCAGTCACCTTGTATATGGTATGAAAAATTTATTATATACGAGTTTACATACAGTTGTGATGGGAGGAACAACTCTGGTTTCTTTTGAAACAACAATCTTTTCTTCCCTGAACCAAAATTTATTTATTCAAAATACACAAGCTGTAAAAAACTCTGCAATAACCACCTTGAAGAAAATTTCTCCCGACATAAATGTACAAATAAAGAAAGCTTCCATTTATGTTTTTACAGTCTATATTGGCACATTGTATTACATAAACAGACATATCTTATGTACATTTTTTTAAATTACTTCAAACTTTATATGAGACAAACTGTTTAAGTATGTAGTTTTAACCAAAATAAAGAAAACTAAGTACAATATTTAAGTAGTTTAGTCCAACTTACTGAAAGTTAAGGTTGATTTTAGTCATGACTAAAAACCAACGAAAAGCAGCAAAAACACTACATGTACAGTTCATGTAATGGAATTATCACTCAGGTTTAAAAATGTACTATAACATTTGCTTAAAGCTATGAACTTACATTTTTTATGGTAGAATTGTAAGAAGAAATGCCGTAGTGATGTCTTACATTTAATGTCTAACTTCTCGAGAAATGAATATAGTAATCAAAGTGTGCATTATTATTGTTACATTTTAAAAATCAGCTGTCATTTTTAATGTCTCTTTGTTTAAATGAAGAACCATTTTTCTAATTTAATATTTCAATAATATTACAGTATTAATACAGTATGAATTTTGATAACCACACAATTACAGTTTAAATATTTTATTTGATACATAAAAGAAAAAACTAAACATAACTGTCAAATATAGAAGCATACTTTTCAAGAACCAACTCAAGTTTTCAAAACTTTTAACTAAATGAGTATTTTAAGTAAAACGAAAAATGTTAGAATGATCAATATGTAAAGACAGCTGAATTGCAAGTCCTGAAATATTATCACAGAATTTAGTAGAAATGGGAAAAAAATTAGCTTGAAAAAAGCTAATTAGAAGAGCATGATAACAGAACTAAGGATCAAAAATAAACTAGGTATGAATCATACATGACATCTGTTTCAGAACCAATACCTGTTGTTTTTAACAAAGTGTACAGGTAAATTTCAATAGGTAGAAGTTTTTTTCCGATACATTGGAACAACCATATTGTTTGTGGTTTATTGAACAAACTTAAACACGGGATAGCCCAACGATAAAAAAGTAATGTTACACGAAATAATATGTTCCCTTCACCTTCATGTATTAGTAATTTAATGAACAAAATAAACTTCTTCCAACAACAAAACCTGTTTATACACGCTTGTTCGAAAACTTTCACAGTGACATTTTTCTTTTACAAGCATTCTCATGTTCCTTAAGATGTTGTC